GGTAATTGCTACGCTTACGGGCAGCAATATACTGCTGCAATGGAGTATACTGGACAAAAACAGTTATTCTTAAAAAGTGTGAGATCTGTTTTTTTTAACTTCAGAAGAACTTTATCTGAACTACAAAAACTTACATTCTCAAGACATAAATTGACATTTTTGTCAAATTGTGCGTTCTCTGTGGTGAACTCACCACACCTCAAAAAGACAATAAAGGCCACTGAGACTACTGCTTGAAGCAAAACATCTGTAAAAGGTGTGAATATTCCTTTGCTTAGAGCTGAACACATTTTAGCAACAATGTTTGCAGTAAAAGGGAGACGGGGCTGTCGGTGTTGGCCCATTTTGCGTGTCAGCCCCTTTAATACCAAATTTAACCTTTCTAACGGGGCCCCACAGGCCGACTTCATGGGGTTTGAAAAGCCGACCTTTAGATATGCATACCTGATGCCCGCTAAGTATAACCTAATTGTGGACCCCTTTAACTGCAAACTGTTGCTACAGTAAGTTACAAATAAAATCAACAGGTTCTCTGAAATGGGAGATAGGTTAGATATAGAGCATTGCACATTGTGCACACTAGCAAAGGTTAACAACTGTGAGAGTGCGGTACTGTAAGCCTGCTTGGTTTTCTTGGCTACCGCTGCACTATATAGTACCTCCACTTCCTCAGCTAGATCTGGGTCACTTCGCAATATAGTGGACACTGCGTTCTGAGCTGCTGTGCGGCTGGAGCCAACTGCCTGAACTTCTGGAAATGGAAACATGATAATGAATCAGCTATCCCGTTATGAACCCCTGGGAGAAAGCGTGCAAGAATTATAAAATTATAGCGCATTGCCAACAAGGTGAGTCGCCTAATTAACTTATTTATAGTTTGGCACTTCGAAGAGGCTCTACCTTTGTTAATGATATGTACCGTAGCCTCATTGTCACAATTAAACCTGATGCGCTTTTGAGACCATTTCCCTCCCCATAACATAGCTGCAACCACAATAGGGTATAATTCTAAAAGGGCCATAGATAGATCACTCCGGTTATTCATGTTAAGTTCTGCAGGCCGACAGTCGTTAAACCATTCGCCTCTAAAATATCCCCCAAACCCAACAGTCGATGAAGCGTCTGTGTAAATCTGCAAGTCTGCAGCACTGGTGACCTCACTGTTGAGGAAAAGATGAACTCCATTCCATGATTGCAGGAAACTATCCCACATAGCTAGCTCCATGCGACAGTCACTATTAATAGCTACATGGTAATGAAGTTTTGGTACTATGGAGGCTAACTGCAGTAGATGAGACACAAAAGATCTACCTGGCAAGACTACTCTTCCAGCAAAACTCAGATGACCTAACAAAGATAACAAGACTTGTTTGGTAACACTTTTCTTTGCTAACACTTCAGATAATTTTTTTGAAATCCCGATTCTCTTGTCTGTTGGTAGAAAGGCCATCAATTCTTTTGAGTTAAGCATTATACCTAAATACTCCAATTCCTGGACAGGACCCAATGTTTTATGATTCGCCAAAGGAATTCGTAAAGTATTAAAAATCAATGTCATGATTAAATTCTCCATCATCTACAGTTAAAAAATCATCCAAAAGATGCAAAATAAATTTGATTCCATATTTGTGTTCCGCAATCTAACAAATAGCTTGGGAAAGTGTGTCAAACAATTTTGGACTTGACCTGCAACCAAATACTAGTCATACACAAAAAATAATACTTTCCTTCCCATTTAACCCCATGCCAGGGCACGACCGATGGGTGAAGTGGAACTTGTTTAAATGCATCCATGATATCAAATTTACACATAAATGCACTGCTACCCACTCTTTTCAATTCCACAGTAGCATCATCAATACGTATGTATGACATTGAAAAAGCCTCCTTGTCTATGAGTTCGTTAAGGATTGGAACTCCTGGTTTGTCATGGGGGGGCTGAAAGATCAACAATAAGACGTTTCTTTCCCGAATACTTGCCCTCAGCTAAACCTAAGGGGCTTATACGAAAAACTGAAAAAGGCGGTGTATCGAAGGTCCTATCACATAGACTTTTGCAGTCAGAATTGACAAAGCTAACAGAAGCTGGGTCTGCCCTTGCTGTTAATTTATTGGTACATTCATATGAAAGCGCTGGGACATTTTCAATCCCTGTCATAAAACCCTCCCTTAGACCTGAGCATAATTGGGATGTAAAAGTTTTATCTGGATGTTCAAATAAAAGTTCTTCCAATTTATCAATGTTTATTGGTGTACAAGCCATGAGTTGTTGTCAGTGTTCGAAATTAACGTCGGTCCGTCGGCCTCAGGCCGACAGTGGGTGTAAAGGGCCTAGAGCTGTGAAAAACCATCAGTCCTTGTGACCGACCATAAATTTATATTTTAAAAAAATGTTCCATTATTTAGTATGATTGTAAGACCAAATATATAATAAATATCTATAGTAACTCCAGAATTGTTTCAAAATTGAGTTTTCTTGCACGTTTGGTCAACAAATGGCATCACTCATCGACCTGGGCATGCCATACGAGTCATAATTCAAGCTCGCCGAATGATCGCGAAATGCGCCGAACGTGGGAACTGTAACAAACGATCTGATTGGATGTAGGCCGATCAAGCCTCCGATTCAAACCAATAGAATTTGCGCATACATTTTATGTTCCGCCATCTTTGATTTGCATCGAACACGCTGCAGAGTTACGTCTACATCGAAGTATGTGGCAATATTTAAACTGCCAGGAGCCTGCTGCTAAACGTGTGAAAACCACACAAGAAAGGCGTGACAAACAGCAAGAATACGAATGGTCTAGGCGTAAACCACGCACATTCCAAGTTAGCTGGCAGGCGGAGTTCAAAGACTGGTTACTTTTTGATAACAACAACAAGGTTTGATAACAAGGTGATGTATTGCCGGCCTTGTCGAGGATCGTGCAGCAGAATTGATCCTTGTAGAAGATGAGACTGACGCCAATGATTGTGAACACGATGCAAAATGCATGTCAGATTCAGAGTCAGCCAGTGATCATGACAGTGTTTTTTCTGAAGATTTTGATGAGTTTAGTGACGATGAAAGAAATGATGATGACGTCTTTGAGGCTGCAGATAATATATCTGATTAATTAGTAAATAAAGGTTTTGTATTATCCGTTTAGTCTTTGTTAAATATCAGGGCCTACAGTTAGCTAGAAGGACCTACAGTTTTAATTTGACATAGGTCCTTCGGGCCTGTTACGATTTTCAGTTAATTTCGAACACTGGTTGTTGTCACTGGGCAAGTGCCACTGGCATTAGATTTGGTACACCTTCAGCCTGGGTGGCCGCCTTTGCATGTGGGGCATGCATGCGTATACTCGCATGGGTTTCGTCTACATCCCTCTTCTGTGTTATAATTGTTGCAGATTTCCTTTCCATTATGAAAAATCCTCTTGCTCCCTCTCCCGTCTGTAGATCCCTGTTGTTGGTAGGTGTGTGGTGGCCCAAAACCTCTCTTTTGAGGGCAGAAGTCTTGCATGTGCAGTGTGCTGCTACAAATAATACATGCAGCGGCCTTCTGGTTTGCAACAACCTTATTGAGCAAAGAATGATTTACTACAGACCAGTCCACTTTAATTTTTTCAAGCTGAAGCCAAGTGGCAGCAGTCATTGCAAATTGTACGTGATAGTCATAAAATCTTGAACCCCAACTATTATGTATGTCCACAATGTCTGCTTGATATTCATCCAGTTCTTCCCGACGTTCTGGATGAGCACTACACATGACAGATTTATATCTGTTAAAAGCCACACAGAATTCTGATAATGTCAAGGATTTATTAAGGCGTGGATCATTGTTACCTTTAATTTTTATTTCATTGCCATCAACATCCATTATACATCGATTGTCGGACATTTCCTGGGCAGGTATGTATTTATGTTCCTTACCATACAAAAACCCTCTGAAGGTTTTTTAGTAGTGTAATAAAATTATTATTATTAATAAAGCAGCAAGATTTACATATCTACCTGTAATGATGATGTCCCTCATTGTCGTCGGTGACACGTTAACGATCCTTGGCAAACTTTTCGCCGCTATTCCGTATTTTCTTCATTCAAAGGAGACGTTCGAATTAATTGACGGGTTATTTACAGAGTTGCCTTGCGTTGCAAACCCGTCAATGGTAAGTAATTGGCTAGTTATCGGCAGCGTTGATGTCACCGCTGACCTTGGGTCCGCCATATTGTTGTGACCACTCGCCCTACAATGCACTGCGGCTGTTGACCTTTGACTCTCTTCCTGTTCAGGCACCGATGTCGCCGACGGTGAAATCGATACGCCTTTAGCCATACTGGAATTGTTAATTAAAGAGGTTACTGTTTGCCTCAAGTCAGAAATATCACGGCGAATACTTGCTACAACATCGCCGGATAGAACATTTGAGGATGTTTGCGTATCTCCCCAGTCCCTCGTTATCGTCCAGACTGTCGATCTCGGCCGCCTCTGGCATGGCCCCGTGTCTGCTGTTGATGTTTGGATGGTCGAACTACGATGATTTGGTCTATTCATTTCATATATGCGTATATAGGAATTCCGGGCTAAATTAGTCGGTAAATTAAAGCCCATGTCTTTCAATTCCAATCTTAACTTAGCATTAGTCCAATTAGCGGGATTACTATAGTCCAGATTTCTCCTATTTCGAGATGTTCTAGCCGCGGGACGTCCTCTTTTTCGGGCGGTTAGGCAGTTGAGTTTCCAACACTACAGAAGTAGTCGCGATTTCCGTCCCGTTCTCCTCAGCTGTGCGTTTTCTACTCTGCATCCGAGTACCCATAGTGCGTAGATTATTCATAATTAAACTTTCTATACATGTTTGGTTGTTAATTATGAATAAAACTGATAATATTTGCCTCAAAGAGAATCCGGCAAGTCTATCTGAATGGCGGAAGATACGACCCCTGCATTCGCATGAGAAAGCGCGAGATCTCTTGGCATAATACTGTAAAATGATACTCACTTAACATACATAAACAATACGGTTCAAAATAGTGATAATCCAATATTAGCAACTAAAAGCATGGAATATTATGCAACATTAAACAATGAAAAAGATGATAATAGTTTCCAAGAAAATATAATGAAAGAATAGTAAATAATAACTTAGATGAGATTATTAGTGGAAAAGAAATATTAACATACAGCTCAAACTATCTTATTAATTCACTCACTCAATTGTATAACTTAGTTTTGAGTAGCTCAGTTTTCCCCAGATATTTGGCATTTAAGTTGCATCACTCATCTTTATAAAAAAGGAGACAAATTAGACCTTCAAAATTTCAGGGGCATATCAGTTTCAAGTTGTATTGGTAAAGTTTTTTGTTCCATCATAAATAAAAACATAAAAAAATAAATAAAAACTTTTGCCAAAGCATTTGACATGGTATGGAGAGTATAGGGCTATTCTATAAGCTTTAAAAAAATAACATTAATTATATACCCTATATATAAAATATGTTTTTGAAATTCAGTCCTTCACCCCCTGACTATTATTGCCGCCGGAGTGATTTACATCGTCAATTTTGGTTCCCCGAGCGTCTCTAATAAATAACCTATCTAACCACTAATAGAAGATTTGGCGAAAATCTGTCATTTTTGGCATCGACGTATTTTTGCTCGGAAACGTAAGGGCGATAAGACTCGATTATCAAGGGCGCAGGTTGTTTGGATCGCATGGTTTCTTTTGTTTCGAGTTTGTTTAGAAACATAACAATGTTTTTTAGTGAATACAGAATATGTTCCGTTTCAATACAGGATTTGGAAATGCCAATCGGGCAATTTTAACAATTTCTTACAGGAGCGTTTTCTGTATACCGGGGGTATATAGTTCTTTACTCTCCAAAAATTTACAATGGTACTAGTCCAGAATGGACTTACTATTCAGTGCGTCTTTGATTGTAGCAATGTTTACGCTGTACGAAAATACGCAAACTTGCGAAGTTTACAACATTCACTTTTAGGACAGTGGGAATAGGAGCAAATTGATGGAAATACCAGTTACATCACTCATGAAGACTGATGATTCGGTTGCTGGCCGGGATAGCTGTATTTACCGGTAGTGTTCATTTCTATGCAATAGGTCTATTCTCAATTTCGATGCGTTTAAACCATATCACTGCTGTGGACGGCGACGACTGATATACTGTTTTGGTTCTGCGGCTCTCTCGACACGGGCACCTAATTTTTAGGTTACTTTTTTTTACTATTCTGACGTTTATTTGGTCGCATTTTGTATATACCAGTCAGACACTGACAGTAAGTAAGTAAACGGGCTGGGACATAGTCAACATGGGACTTTAAAACAAAATTTACATTACAATCTCATGCTTCCGAACAATCCGATATTTAACAAAGTATACAAGCACTGTCTACGATATACTGCAAAGTGGAAATAATATACCTATTTACCGTTGTATTGTACAAAATTTCAAGAACACAAAACAAACAACTGCCGAGTACACTACACAGTCACTGCAGTCACATCAGTAAGAATTACTTTGGACCTCATGGTCAATGTGAATACAATATTTATAAAAAAAAAAATCTTGAAGCTTCCATGGACAAGTTGACAAGCCCTAATTTTGCAAAACCATCATTTCAGTCAAACTGAACTTTAAATCTCATTAGGATTTCACAAGTTACCCAGATCGAAAAAAAATGCATTATTGAGAAAAAGAAAAATACTGCTTTTTTTGTCATTTGGGTATTTTTGTGAGTGTACACGCATGCATTAAAATATGTATACCCATTAATATTATCAAAACTTCAAATGTAATCATAGTACAAATGTAAAGTAAAAAAAAATTGTCGAGAGTGATTTTGGATTTGTTGAAAAAATAGCCAAAATGCTGTGACATTGTCTAATTGGTGATGGGAATTATAAAATAGTAAACAAAAATGGAGAGGTAGGGGTCTTACGTTGTATGGTATTGTTTTTATTAATGACCTTCTTGATGAGAACTGTAATTTTCTAGCATTTGAACAGTTTATTTTACAATATGGGAATGTATGTACCAGATACAAATTTTTTCAGTTAAAATCTGCCATTCCTTCAAAATGGAAAAATCTCATAGCTGGTTGTGCTGGAAAAAAAATTACGTGTATGTAAACCAAACATGCGTAATTGTAAATGGCTAAGTGGGGATAAAATTAATAAAGAGTTGTATGCTGTGCTGCTGAAACCCTTTTTAAGCAATGAAATTCCAAGACATATCCAGCACTACTGGCATGATATCCTGGATGTTATAATACCATGGGGAGCTGTATGTACACTCCCGTATAAAATCACAACCAATACAAAGCTTAGAAATTTCCAGTACAAGCTTACTATGAAATTTTTGCTATCTAATCAACTTCTGTATGCATGGAATCTCAAAGATTCTCCACTATGCTCTTTTTGTGAAGATTACTATCACTTATTTTGGGATTGTAGATTTATATACATTTTTTGGAATGGTTATCCTCGTTCACAGAACTCATTTTCACATTAAATGCTCTAAAATGTATTCTGGGAGATATTGATGAGCATGATAATCCAATGCTTAACTATGTCCTACTTATAGGTCGTTATTATATATTAAAGTACAAGTTACAACACATTATGCCAAACATTGTAGGTTTCAAATCCTGTGTAAAACAAACCATTGATTTGGAAAGTATCATTGCGAATGCTCAGAACAGAAGAACAAAGTTTCTAAAGAAGTGGGGGCCTTTTATTGAATATTATGATCTGTAATTGTTTTCCTTTTTTCTTCTATTATTGTTTTGTCTGTAATTTGTCATTGTAATTTTTGCATATTAAATAAAATAAATAAAAAAAATTGAGTGTGAACCTTTCAAAAACTGAAGTTGTTATCTTCGGTTCATCAACATTGAGAAAAAATACCAATTCTGTTTTGAAAATGATAACACTCAGTTATACACATCTAGGAATCACAATAAAATCAAATGGGAGTTTTGTTGATGCCATGTTAACAGGTAAAGCTGGTAAATCAATTTACATCATGAACAAAGTATTTTTAGGAAATCTAGACATTAAACTTAAATTTATATGAAACCAAAAAAATTAAATTAATCAAATTTTAAAAACTTACCCTGAAAATAAGTTTCTAGAAAGAACTGATTTCCAAAGAAAATAGCAAACTGAGAACATATGCTAAATTTAAAACAGAATACATCTTTGAGCCATATTTGAATGAACTTGACACTTACCGGTACAAGAGGAAAATGTTAACACAATTTCAAATTAGTAACCATAACTTAGTAATAGAGGCAGATATTCAATTCCTACGAAACCTATAAACAAAAGAATATGCACAATCTTTGACAGAAATTCAATTGAAGATGTAGAACATTTTTTATTGAAGTGCCCAAAATATAACACACACTGAAAATACTTCATCCAAAAAATTATGATACTACTTTCAACCAAAAATAAAAACACACAATTTACATAATATACTCGCAAGCAAAGATTTATTTAACATTTAAATACTAGTTACATACTTTTTATAATATTTTTACATATACATGTATCTTGTTATTATTTCTAAACTTTTTTTTCTGTACTTATACTATGTAAATCATTTTACGCGGTGGCAATAAAGTTACGGTATTATTATTATTTATTTATAAGGACTTTTATGAATGTCTTCAAATTTCAACAAAAATTGATGGGTAAATAGACATCAATGTATGAAGGTTCATATTAATTTTTGATTTCTTTATTAAACTGTTTCGTTTTATTTGTTTTAATAGATACAGCTCTGCATGTTGTAAAAAAAATGAAATCACCATTTTCTAGACCTGTTTCACCAAGTTATGAACATTGCTTCTGTATCTGTATTATCTAATGATCCAGAGAGCTTTCAACTGAGTTGTTATCATTCAGACAACATGGCTTCAATGTCATATGAAATGAGAAAAGCAGATAGGTTGCGAAAGAGAAGTGGATCGGTTGATTCTCAGGAAAGAGATGAACTGCATCATGACGATGACAGAGGGCACAGACGCCATCGTGAAAAACATAGAAAAAGGAGAAAATATCGTTCTCCTAATAACAAGGTTCATGACTCCTCTGAAGACTGCCCTCACAAGGAGGTTTACGACAATCCTTCCTATCGTCATAGTGAATCTAGAAGAGCAAGAAGAGGATTAAAACACAGTGATGATGAAAATCAAAAAGAAAGAAGACAACGACGAGAACCAGTGCAGGAAGTATTAGTTGTCCAGCATGAAGAAGAAAATTTGGGAGCCGGTTTAGGAATACTGGAACACAAATCAGAACAACAATGGGTTCGTACTTTAAACTTCTTGTTGGCACAATAGCTGATAATGAGATACATAGTAGAAGAGAATTTCAGCAAATTTAACAGTTGATGTGTACTAATGGGGATCTTCTTTGGAAGCCTAAATTGTTTCATCTAATTCTCATATATTCTATGTACACAATTACAAAAATATGTCTTTACTTGAATTTATTTTCATCCATATAGTGAAAATAATTCAGATGAATGTAAATTATGGATTTTTTTGATATGTTTTCCATTTCATGCCTGAATGCATACATGACTACATGTACCTCTCCTCAATGCCAAATTTGATGTATAGTACTATTATGTTATTCATTGCAGAATACAGACGTTTCCTCATTCATGAAAGAAAATAAAATAAAACAGAGAAATGGTCCAGATAAACAAGTGGATGCTGATTCATATGGGGAGATAGAATTCATTGGATTCGGACAACATAATAAGAAGTCACCAGTAAGTACATGGTATAATAGTTTTGCTATAACTATACTGCATTGGCATGTGCTACATGTATATATGTGCTTTGACTGCTGTTATGTGCTGCTACCATTAGTGTGACAATTACTATGTGTAGGCAGCCACTGCTGTTACTTTGCTATCACTGTGGGATTTCCTTGTTTCCTTCCAGCTTATGTTATTATGCTGTTTCTTGCGACTATGACGACACTCATGCGACTATGACGACACTTGCACTATATTGACTATGCTGAGTATACATAAATTGTGCTGAACTTGTGATATTTGTGTTGCATTTAATTTGTGACCATGCTGGTCACCATACTTAAGCTGTGTTACAAATGTGCTTTATGCTACCACAGCTGTTACTGTACTATCGCTCCACTAGCAGACTGTGTCCCTCGTTGGGGCATTGGATGTCACAGTGCAAGGCCTGCTTATTGCAATTGAGAGGGCTACCCATAGAACTCACACTGGACAGGGTGTTCTTTTACTGCTAGAATGGGGTAGACAATACAATAGTACTGGAAGTGAAATACACATATACCAAAATATCGAGTTAAAGCTCCTCGCTTTAATACCTCTCAAAATAATTACAAGAAATAAAGCACAGAAAAATACAATGAATAGAGTCACTAAAACAGGGGATTGCTTAGGGAAATGTGCATTGATGATAACTCACAGTTTCAGGATGTAATAATGGACGACAGTCAATGGCTTCTACAACACAACAAAGATATACAGGAGTCTTGCTTGCAGAGGAACGCTGGTATTCTGGAGGGCACCGCTGAAAGCAGGAGATCGCAGAGCAGCGCAGTTCATACAAGTCTCACAAAATGATGGTTGTAGCCTGTATCACTTGTTACACAATATCGTAGCAGCATACACTAGATACCAAGTTGAAATGATGGACTCCTGAGTCTGTCCAATTTATAGGCATGATTCAGTGTCACCACCTGGGTTTCCACATGAGCCAATCAGAATGTGATCTTGCTAGCAGCTGTGTCACGTAGGCAACTCAGTAAATCATAAACATCCTTTATTATTCAAATAACAGCACACCTGGTAGATTCCAATTCTCCTTCCAAAGTTGTAAACACCCTTTGTTATGTAAATTACAAGCACACTTGGTAGATTCTACTGTCCTTCCAGAGTTGAAAACAAGTATGACCTGTCAATCACCTTTATGAGAGTTATCATAATGCACACTGTTTCTTCTCATGATTCCATGCACACTTCCATTTGCAGGGTTTGAGGTAACATGACAAAAACAGATTTCATCCTGACCCCCATTTCAAGGTCGGGCGGCATCATGCATCTTTCTCTTTTGCAGTATGTTCGTGTTGACATGGAAACAGAACCACACATTTTATGGGATCTTCTGATTAATCAGTGGAAAATGGATAAACCTAAAGTGTTGATATCAGTCACTGGTGGTGCACAAGACTTCTTTTTCAAAGATAGACTAAAGTTACTCTTCAACAAAGGATTATTTAAAGCTGCTGTCAGTACAGGTATGTACATCACAATGTAATATAGATACCACCAAGGGTTGCTTTAACGCAGGATACTACATCCGACTGGGAAGCAGACGTTTTAATGTGGGGCAAATTGTTTTCCACTTGTAGGTCAGGGTACTGTCAGTCACTTGCATTATGCTTTGCTCTGTGGAAGCACAACACCCAAATCATTTTCAGCCATGTGGATCTCAGCTTTTGTTCTGGAGCAATAGTTCGGCTCTGATAGAATGCTGTAGTGTAAATGTAGCAATAAGTGCAAATGTGTTGATGCATATTGTGTATGAATCTAACAAAATAAAAGGTGGGATCCTTGAATATTTTATTTGGACGTAAGTGGGTCCAAAAGTTACCCTCTGTAAGCCCTCTCTCAGTGACCCTCCAATGACCCTTGTAACCAGTGACAACAGGTCTCCCTACCATCAAAGTAGAGGCACTCGAAGCAGACTAATTCACAGGTTCGGGTTATGGCATGGACAGCTTCACCAATATTTACCAGTGCAAGGAAGGTGTATGACCAAACACACATGAAATGAAAATGATTTAATAAATAACAACAACAAATTGCACACTGGCTAACTATACACAACATCAATATAGGTTAGCCTAAAGCAGCAAAAGGTATACACTAGACTTAGTAAATTCAAAATAGAAAATACTAAATGCCCAATTCAATTTCTCCTATCAGTAACAGGAATCCACTCAAAAAGTATAAAAATTTAGTACTTGCCCTTTAACAAATAGGCCAAACATAAGAATAGTTAAAGGGGTCTACGTGAGATATACCACAAAACAATCTATGTTAAGTTCTGAATACAGGAATATGTAACAAACGCAATATTAATACGGTTTATGCTCCCTAACGCTTAAGCGTACAGCTACAATTTTAGCCGTAATGGCCAAAAATGTAAAACACAAAACTGAGCGCGCGGTACGCTGAATAGTGCGACGGAAAGGCCAAATATACGTCAGTCGCACAGACAATGAAAACGTCAAAACACACGATAAACGCTAAGTAGCCAGATTCATTGAACAATCAAGAGAAAATGACTATAAATACAACAAGTTATTCATTGAATCCGGTACTCCCGAAACTCTTTACTGATAGTGTACTCTATTGGGCGGTAAATTCAAAGGATGATAAAATACACTATGTCGTAACAAAAATTAAAATTATACGCTTCAATAAAAACAACTCATATGAGGAAATTACTAAGGAACCTTGGATTATAAAACATATGGCACTATCGAAATGGGTCCAACTGAAGTTTTTTTATGGATTTATTGATTACTTCATGCACAACAAATGATACTTGAAAAACTTCAAATGATCCGGAATTTCTGTCACATCCACGCTGAGTTTCTCTGCAGCTTGATTATTGACTTTCCGAGCATATAGTTCGTCAAAAATCTAGAAATATTCAAAATGTTCCGGAGACTTCTTGTCGCACGTCAGCTCACAACATCTGCCATAACAACCACTGCCTCCGTCTCGCTCTTAGGTAGGCTCGTACCATTTGCAAGAAGGCCGGGGGACCAATCTAAAATCCCTGCAACTCTAAATATTTAACTACGAAATTTATATCATCTAAAATTATAATAGTACTATAAAATAATACAACCTATGGAGCAAAAAAAACAACGCACTGACACAATACAAAGTCATTAGCAGCAAAACCCTCTATAAAAAAACAACTGGTCATGCCCTACGCGTGTTGAAATCATGACGTCACTCACATAGCAACTTTCCAAGACCAACTTGTCAACAAGTCGTGCTGTTCAGCCCATACTGCGTCAAAGTAGAACACACTCATAAATTTTAAAACACAAGAAAATTTCCTATCGAAATAGCATGATAACGAACAAAAGAAATACTGCTTACTCCTAGGAATATACAAGACAAATATAATAACTCAAAAACTAGGTCACCAACATAAATTATGCAAACTATTCTTGACACCAGAAAAACTTTCAAAACAAAAACTAACTCAATGCTGACTAAATAATAAAAATGAGGGTCTCGTTCACAATACAAGATGAACTACTCTGGGTGATTTTAACCCAATCATGTGTGGCCTACCTACACTAATATCCTCCTTTGAGGACAACAAATTAACCCCATGGGTCTAATACCCATTGGCGCAACTCAACAGAAGTCGTGGTTACACCTCCATTCCAAATGACTGGATATCACAGTGAAATTTACAGATGGATGGATTACAGTAACCATTCATTCTGTTTCAGGTGCTTGGATCATCACTGGTGGTACAGCGGTTGGAGTCATGAAGAAAGTTGGTGAGGCCATCATGGAAGAAAGTCAAGGAATAACATCAGACAATCAGAAGCAAGTTGTCGCACTTGGAATTGCCACATGGACTATGATTGATAATAAGAAAGCACTGGAAGGAAGGCCTGTAAGTACTATTTTTATAATATACCTAATCAGATGTTGATTATTGTTAGAAAGCACTGCATGGTCTCTATTTATATAAAGCTGTTGATGTACATTGCCTATGATTCTTCAAATGATTATGCTAATCATGTTGTAGAACCACTGATGTATATCCATTTATTTTGTGATTTGATACAAAATTGCCAATTTGTAGCCATCTTGTTTCACACATTGTGATTGAATGTGCATGCAATAACTGTTTTCTTAGGTAGCTAAAATATCATAATAATAATAATATAATAATAATAATAATAATAATTAAAAACAATGATCGTACCCGTGGTAGTTAGAGAACTTGGTCTTGTCAACAAAGACACCCTAAAGCATGTTGATAAATTCAGGAAACCCAAGTCTGCAAGAGATACAGAAAATTGTTCTTAATATCACTGCGCACCTGCTGAGAAAAGCGTTATCAATTTAGACTTTCTACGTATTGTTGGTTATGATTTGATACGTTTTGTGTGTATGGTTAATCATTTTGTGTCATCCTTTCTTTTAGCCGCAGGTCTTTAGGTAAGACCTGGCATTAGAACTGTAAAACAGCAGATCAAAAGAACATACTAAGAAAATATTACCTTTATTGCATCTTCAGAAATACAAATTTCTCTCAATGTTGCTAGCAAGTTAAGAATTAAGAAAATAACAAGTCTAAAAATAAATATAATCCAAGAAAGCTTAAAAAGAACGCCAGTGTTGCTGATGGTATTGGAGACATATTAAAAATTAATTTAAGATTTACCTTTCAAACGAGAAGCTTGGCAACTAATATTTGTCTGCTATTTGAGATGCACAACATAAAAACAATGTGATTCACATTATCAAAATTTATAGTATATACAGAAAATACATTTAATTTTTCATCCATGGTTTTCAGTCTAATTAATTCCAGAGCACCTCTGTGATGAATTCAATTTAAATCTGATTTTTTTTAGATATCAGCAATGGGCTAATAATAGATAATCAATATGCATGTTTATCAAAATTAAACTAATCATGTCTGTGGATTACAAATTAAGCAATTAGTATGCATAGATTTAGGTCTGTATATTGTTTCAGGGTGCACATGTACAAAGTTTCATTATAATGTGATGATTAATCCTAACTAAATTAGTGGGAAGCAGAGAAGTAATTATTATGCAAATTAGGTTATAGATGCATATAAACCCAAAACTAATTAGGTAATTAATATGATCTGATTTTAATCCCAAACTGAGCAGGTCTGTCCATTGTTTTAGAGCATCCATGTACCAAGTTTCATTGAAATAAAATAATTAGTATTTGCGATATCAGTGTAAAAGCCGAAAAATAACTAATTATGCAAATTAGCTGATTAATTGGAACAAATTTTTACCCAAAACATATCAGATCTCTACATAGTTCTAGAGCATCTATGTACCAAGTTTCATTGAAAAGTAATGATTAGTACTTATGAGAATTGATTGATTATGCAAAATAGAGAATTAATATTTCACATATCAGGTCTGTGCAGTGTCCTATGACATTATATGTACCAAGTTTCATTGAAATGTGATGATTAGTACTTTAGATATCAGTGGGAAAACCGCAAATTTAATAATCATTATGCAAATTAAGTAATTAATATGCATGGATTTTTACCCCAAACTAATCTAATCTGCGCATTAGTCAAGAGCATCTATGTACCAAGTTTCATCCAAATCTAATGAATGGCTTATTAGATATCAGTGGAACAGTCATAGGACAGCTAAAAATCAGATAATTATCATGCATATCAGGTAACAAACACATACACACCCATTCATGTCGTACCATCAATATGACGACACATTGGATTAACTTTTATTATAGTTGAATTAACTTTTAGTTGCGATATGAACTCAATTAAAACATGCTCCTATATAGGGTTGCCTTTTAATTGGAGTTTAATTAAACTCAATTACAATGCAATTCATCATAGAATTGCATTTTAATTGAAGCGAGGGAGTTGTCACCTGTGTATGCATCAGATGGCCATAGCGTCTCATTGTTTACAAACATGCGTCTACCCATGAGCCTTTAAGTTTTCAGCATGTGTTGTTATCGTTGTTTGTGACTCAATTCCCGCGTGTGCGCAGGTGACATCCCTCCTGCTTTAAGTTTAATTAAATAAAAGTCAAGACTGAACATAGAAATATTTGTGAAGCGAAGGGTTAGTAAATGGGGTAGGTATGGTACAATTATATTAATATTAATATAAATTGAACCATACCTTCCTTTACTAAAATTAAGCTATGCTAACTTGGCTTAAACATTAATATAAATTAAGAAAACAATGAGGGTTGTCACAATGTAGGTCCTGTCATCACAATTAGATGTAAAGTTAAATTGAAGTCATCACAGCATTGGTACCACACACACAAACACACACACACAGTTAACTGCAAAGACTCCCATTTTGTGCTTCGCACACAGGAGTAAAAAATATAGATGTTATAAAATATAATTGACTGATATAAGATTGCTTTCATATTGTTGATATTTAAAGAACAGGCTTATCTTAAATGTGTGATTAATTTTCAATAAGTGTAATTAATTTTAAATATTTTCTGTATTTGTTTCATTTCTCAAATACCTTCAGCACAACTTGTATTCTTTGTGAGTTTTCTTTGATTATTTCTTAGTGTATACAATTTATTTATTTGTTTATTCAATAATTTATTTAATAGTCATTTATTCACCTAGTTTAATATTTTAATGACCTAATTTATGATCTGTTGCTATTGATTCCACTTGCAGGGTGGTGGTGGGTTGTGGCCAGCCCAATACAAAGAGTCAGATCTGGGAAAGGAGAAAAAGTCAGCTTTAGACAGTAACCATACACATTTTATACTCGTGGATCATGGTAAAGAAACTTTTGGGGCCGATATTAGACTAAGAGCTAACCTTGAGAAATATATTGCTGAGAAAACAGAAAGAGGTAATTGAAAGTTAATTGACAGCAGAAATTTAATGCTAAATCTGGGGAACCAGTCATGTTCAAGTGGATATTTCTTTACTGTTCTTAAAAAGATAAGTACATGTACTCTCCCAGTCATCTACTGTCAATAAATACAACAGAATTCGATCAAGCTGCCTTACCGACTTACCTAGATTGGTATCTTATCCAATTGCAACAATGCTCTTTAGCTACACAGAGCGCTGTAAATGCTGTTAAATTAGATACAAATTAACTACAGAATAACTTGCTCTACAACGGAGTCTGTGGCTTTACAAACACATATCTTAGAAAACTGTTTTATCTTACTCGTAATAATAATACCGGTATATTATATTAATACAATAATGTAGCTAAACGTTTTCTGATTGTCAAAGATTAGTTGTTTTTCAACACACTCCAACGGTTTTAAAAGCAATAGTGCAAATTTGACTGCGTTTTGATACGTACTCTAGAAATAGTTTGCCAAGTTGTCCGATGCCCTCTCACGTTTACCTTAATATGCGTCACAAAGATCGCATATTGAAATGTGACGTCCCGGTAATTACTACGTTCACACGACAGCATTTTATCGGAGCCCTACGGCTCGAGCCGGTTCAAGCCAGCAAAAATGACCGTGTGGGCTCGAGCCAAGTTCGGCTTCACTAAACCCTCGGGGTTGTACTCCGATAGGGTTGAGTCCCGACATGGCTCAACTATCGAGGCTGAAATCGCGCCCTCAATTATCTTCTTCAAGTAACCTATCATTTCAATTATGGCAAAGACAACATATTTCGTAATTTCACGCAATTTCCGGCTTGAAGAAGAGGTACGCACCCTAATATACACTTGGCAGAGCAAAGAATTACTGCTACTGCGATAGATTGATAGCTCAACGGGAAACGGGAAAAATGACGTACGACATTATGCAACAAAAACTTGAACGAACGACTGACCGGAAACTTTTTAAAGACAGCAAAGAAAAAATCGTAGAAGCGATCTAGTAGGTTTAGATTCTTCTGTAGTCCCTCTATGATATATAGAGAAGATAGAGGGACTGTGATTCTTCATAGTACTAGTACCGGTAGTTTAGATATCACTAACGGTTGAATAATTACAAAATGGTAATTTTGCATGACAATAAATAATAGGTTGTAACACATTTTAGCTGGCGTGTTTCTGTTTATTCGAGGTACTAGTGCAGGTATCTAAATAATAACGCTAGTGCTTTGTCTTTTCTACCTCCATGCTCAGACTCGCGACTTTTTTTTTCCTAGCCCATCAGCATCGTGCCATGTAAAGAAACAAGACAAACAAGACACCACAATCGATTTCAGTACAGTTTTTTCATACTCATTATTCGAGGGCACTGTTCTGTTTGGCTCTGATCAAACTGAATCAAACTCTGGCAGATCTCGGCTCTCGTTCGGCTCACGACCGTATGAACGCATTGGAGATAATCTTCTGTTATTCAGTGGGAGGAGCAGTAGTTCGGCTCCGATAGAATGTAAAAAGTATGTTTGTTTTGAAATAAATAAGTCGGAAGATCGCGTATATAAATATTAGATATTCATGTCAGCTCAATGCTTTCCCTTAACGTACGTAATAATCGGTAGCTGGTAATATTACGTATTTGTATACATGTCTGTGTTGGTTTTCGACGTTCCTGTAACGTATGGCTACGTATATATTATTGTAGTACTAGGAGACAAACATGAGTGGGCAATCAAACATCAGCTGTAAATATGCGCTCTTACATCTGGGCATACACACTAATTGAAAATTACGCATACCAAATGAAAACTCGGTAACATTGAATGTTTAAAAACTATAATATTTAATAAAATAACAAATGTCGATCAGTAATACATTGTTAATGTAATATAATGAATAACTCACTATTTCCTATAGATAAACGTTCGCAACTAGTTTAAACGAAGTTTAGACTTTAGTTTACTAGTGTTCAGTGGATGGCACCGGTGGCAACTGGGGTGCAACATTGGGTGTAATTGGTTTGGTCACCAGCTGGGTTTCAGTTGCAAGTGGTGGTGATGTGTGAGCAACATTGGGCACTGGTGGCGCCATCAGGTATGATGTGCCAGGCAACAATGAAAACGGATAAGCGAATTGTGATGCGTCAGAAATATTTCCGTATCCCGGTGAATATTGAAAATAGTCAGTGCCAGGTTGATAATAAGGAGCAGCGAAGTAGCTGTATGGAAAGTTTATATGTGAAGACGCAATGTCTGTCGTACACGTGTTTGGGGAGTGGGGAGTCACGGCTTCAAGATACCGC